TATATACCCCTAGACGAGAGAGATCCGACGTATGCGAACACTACCCTAGCAAAGAGGCATAGCAAACTGACCCTAGAGTAATGAACGCGAGAACGCGTTTACTATTATTATGACGATCCTTTAGTTTTCCCTAATGGATCGCTAAGCTCATAAAGCACACAATACTACAACACGCTCGTTTTAAGCGTATACGAACATCTCATGTTTAATTCTCGCCGAGGATACAGTCCTTTCGCAACTTGGTCGTGAAACTGACTACAAATTTTATTAAGTGCAACGGGGTTGCTGTGCACATTGCTCAGAGTATGCTTTGACTCAGATAGTTCAAATCTACGAGGGGGCCCAGCCGGGTAGCTAAGTTATGATTTTTGTTAGCTCTGCTATTTTAAAAGTAACAAATACTTAGTATTGATTTTCTCAGACTAGAATTAAACATGACGCGCTTCACTATAATGAATAATACAGCTGTCATTATTACTCAACTTGTGATTGACATGCACAGTTATATGTGAATTTCGCACAAATTGTACTGTATTAAATACGATACATTTGTACCAGACACCTTTGGAACCCACTACTCCAGAACTTGCATTGGAATAGGCCAATATTTGCAACGGGCTTTAGTGCATTAATGACACATGTATGGCGACAGTATAAGTAAAGTACAATTGAAGCTTCACTTTCTGTCGACTTACCTTATAAGATGCCACCCGTTACTAATTACCGAGATAATAACTAATGAAATGTTTCGACTTCAACCTGTCGCAATAAGTTGCGTCGCAGTGCCCTAATACTCTTAATAATCAAATATTACGATACAATAATTATACGAGCTCAAGTGCCGTGATATCTATCACTCTGAGGCTGCACAATATCATACACTTACATACTTGAAAACTTAATCGCTTAGTAATCTCATCTTCGCAGCATCTCATTACTCACGCTTTGGCATCACAGTCATGCGCTCACCGTTGTCGAAAATGCAATCGGGTTTAGGTCAGTCATATTGCGAAACCGAAAATTTCTGGCATTTCATGACTTTGAGCAGAAACAAGGTAGTTTTAAGCACCTATACATAACATCTAATCAGGCATTGATTGTACCGGGCACAATGGCGAGCTCAGAGGCTGCACTGATGAATTCCCAGAGCAGCAGCCGTGGCACGTAAAATAGCCAAGAACGCAAACAAAGACCTCTCTTGCAGAAATTGTATAAAGATCTTATCTTATGGAACATAGTTGACAAATTTGATGTGCAGCCATGTGGGTCAGTGTGATCATGTGTCTCTCCGTCTTTTTTTCAATACAGATTGCGAAAGCTTCATTTATCAGCTTCACGTGGCGAAAAATGTTTTATTTTAGTCGTAAAACGAAACCGAAATTTAACTAATTTCGACAATGTAAAGACTGCCATCAATTGACAAACTTGGATAATGGAATGGAAAAACGACGGCAGACGAATACCACGAAGACTATGACGTCAAGTCGGACTATGCGGCGAAACTTGCACAAATAAAAGTACTCAACTACAATAAAATTTTCTTACGGTGATACTTTCTCGAAAGTTACCGTTTCTCTAGACTCCGTTCGCAGGTGAGCTAGAACAATGTAGATTTTCATGGAGGACTATCGTGATTACCTGAAGACAAAAAGTGCATTTCAAGGATATGCGAGATTGATACGGATGTAAAGGATTTTAATCGTGTTCATATAATATATACAAAATGTAGATAACTAGCGCCAGAAGTAGAAGTACCACTATCCTTCGGATAGCAATGCGAGCTCGATGACGCTTCTCATAAATTAGATCCTTCGGCATAATCACAAGCCAATGATTGGCTTTCGACGCATCATGCATATAACTCACAACGTCCCAACCATCGTGTGACTGGACGGAAAAGTGTCCATTCGAAGTGCTTATGAAATACCCTTTCGGATACTGCAGGTGTGGCACAAAGACCTCTGTACAATGCAACGCAGCTTCATTCGTTTTGCCTACATCCGAGACGTACTCCAACTCGTAGCGGACACGATTAGATATGAATTTGGACTTTATGGGAGTGCCCGCAATTCGAGTGGCATACGGACGTGCAAAGGCCTTCAGTGCACGCGCACAAGCGTCTCGTTCAGGAACCGATAGATCAGCTTCAGATCGAATGGGCTTGTCCCTACTTACCAGACTTAAGTCTTCAAGATTCCACTGATCCCCGAAGTCATTGCAGTTGTCTGATGTGTAGCACCAAAGTGTGAACGAGACCAAGCTCGCCTCAAGACACGAAATAGTGTGGTCCAAAGCGCCAAACTGTGCTTTATAGTCGCCGTTTCGAAAAGCTTTCCCACCATGCATATTAAAAGGTATTCCTGTCTCACCAATAAGCGTTGGAGCGTTATCCATCTGCTTGCTGCCGTAGCTTTTAATATTCGCTAATTGCTTTAAATGCGTCCAGCGTACAGCAGATCGGCCAAATGCAGGTACCTTAGTTCTAGGGTCAACCGTAAAATAGGGACGCCAAGCTTGTAGAAACAGCGTGACACCATCGTACCAGTGCGTAGCATTAACTGCACGAGGAATAAGTTTACTGTCAATTTCAGGAAATGCATCAATGCTGAATTCGAGTGGCGGTAGCTCCACAAACAGTAAAATATGCGGTAAAATGCTGCGAATGCGTTCACCAAAGCGCTAACGACATGGAAATACACAGCATTTGTTAAGTCGACATCATAATCAAATTTTAACAAATTCAAGTACCGCGGCGAACGGCACATAGCAGTCCCGCCCAAATTGAATTCCCGCAAAATGGTTCGGACGTAGCAGCTCAGGCTCCCCTGTTGTGGTATTAACATCCCAAATACCTTCTTCTCTCCAGATACAACGTCTTCCTTGGTGCCACGCGCGCACTCCGTCTGGATTCACCAACACTAACTCATCAGGGCGTCCGAACACATGTTGGTTTGCACCATTTGACCAGCGTTGTATAACCTGTTGATACCCATCTGCTAGTGCCATTCCTTGAAATGCCGTGGGAGCCAAGTCATACTTTAGCTCTCCATGATGAAAATGCTTGTTCAAGTCATCAAGGCCTAAATAACCCGAAGAAGGTTCATTCATTGTTCCAAAACCCACCACATTTGTCAATCCTTTTAATGTATTTGCCAACTTTACCATGGCGTTTATGTAATGAGATTGTAAATACTCCTGAACTGGCACTTCATTCACTCGACATTCTGGTGCGCACTTGGAGCCCCCCCAAAAAAGTGAGAACATGGTAGCACACGCCATCTTAAAGTAGTTGGTCGGCCAAATCATCTTTGGATATTTAGCAACATCCACTCCACACGTTTCCACACACAGTGCAGCTTTTGTTACTTCAAATTTTTTTGGATTCAGTCCCACTGCTTCTAGTGTCCAAATTGGCGCTCCGTCTCCCCCTGTCCACCTCGACCAGACATCTTGGTGTGGATCCACATAAATCAAAAGATCATAATCTGCAGCAAGTTCAATGATATTCCTGATATAATGTAGATAGTCATTGTCATAAATCCCGGGGCCGGCATGCTCAATGGCTTCCCACGTCACGACAAATCTAAGCAATGTCAAACCCCAGCGCTGTAACCGCGCAAAGTGCAAAGGCGCATCACTTAATGGAAATGGTCGATTAATGAACGACACGGAAGGTGCTCCATCGAAAAAACTACTGCTCGAGTAGCGATTGGTGTGCTGATATCCTGATGGAAGTTTGGATGAGCCACCAAGGTTTACACCACGCAGAAGTCGCACGCGACCCTGAGAGTCTACAAAGTGACCGTTTCGAATATTTAAAGCGTTTCCATTTGTGTTAGGTAGCATTGACATGAGCAGAAACAAAGGCAGAGAGGCTCGAGAGGTGTCGATTTAGAAGCTGTGAATTATGCCTTTGATAGTTCCTAATCACCTAATTATAGCATAACCTTTACTCCAGACCAATCACATGAGTGAAAAAGACCCACCCTGGCATAAACATTTATCGTGTTGTGGAAGGTTACGTCAGTAGAGTCGGCGAACAATACCAAATAGTATGGTAGTCAGGGTTGAGATCGCATAGAGCAGCTGGTGCTTAAGTGTGTTAGAAACGCTGGATTCTAGCTGGGGATTCAGCAATTCAAGGTACAAGCGGGTTTCATCAAATCACAGAGCGAGATCACACAAAATTTTGCAAGCACCGCTTGTTTTTGTTGTGACCCCTTTGGCATTTGCCAAATCATAAGGTGCGATCACGAAGCACCGCTCTACCAACCTTGAGCCAGTGGCTCGGCTCTAGCGGGCGGAACTGGAATCTTCCTCTGTTACATCCGTGCGCAGAGGCAGGACTAAAGGTGTTGTTACTATACATTTGATGGTCCGCTGCCACCCACACGCATGTACAAGAAGAAGCTGAGACAGATACGTCATCGTCTCTCTTCAACCTGATGCACTCACTGTCAATGATGATCAGAAATGACAAGCCGTAAATATTGATAGTAATGATAGAGTTTGGCGAGTCAGCGAGCGTGACATCCTAAATGTCGATTCTACTCCATTGGTAAAGCTCTGCGAGTGTCGTTATATGGCGCACGCGTCGAAATGACGTGTCGAGTTGTGGCCGTCGCTTCGCCATAGCCTCGCTACTTCCTTGTGCGGATAGGCTTACCCTAGTAAACCTTTAACAAAAAATACCCTATTATATAGCATCGGATAACTGGGTGATCTTGCGGGCATGCTTCATTACGATATATCATAACTCATTATATTGTCATGAATTCGATCTCCTCCCGTCTCTATCCATATGCACCGCCCAATCAGACGTCGGCCAGTGTTTCGGTTGCTCGACGACGGAAGAGGCATGAAATTTTGTGTTGAATGTACGTCAAGTATTACAATTTCTAGCTTCAAGTTTCACTAACCCCCTCATTTAACAACCCAGCCGCACACAATTAAACTACAGCATTTGACCAAGTCTCCTGAGCTCAGTCGTATTATCTAGACAAGAGGGCGAGGTGAAAGAGGCATAATTCCATTGCACCTTGACTTTCTAGACATGAGCTCTCCGGATGACTACCGTGGACCTAAATTCGTTGGGATCATGGGCCACGACAATGTAAGCCATAATGGCAGCAAGACCACTGTCTACTTTGTGCAAGTCCAGTTGCCTGAGGGCATGTTCATGGTCAAGCACCGCTATCACGAATTCAAAGACTTTTACGACAAGGTACGAATTATTTCTGGATAGACGTTTGAAAGGTCTTTTACACCTGTATTGACAATCTTGACATAATATATCGGTCAGCTATCGAGTGAGGGTTATCGCTGCCCAGCTTTACCACCCAAGAAGTTTCTGGGCTCATTTAACAAGGAATTTATCGAAAAGCGTCAGCAGGAACTGGCCAATTGGTTACATCTACTATGTCAGTATGATCCAGCGTCGGGCAACTCGGACCCACGCACTTCAGAGCTTTTCATGGAATTTATGCTTACGAATGTACGATGTACCACCTAGCCAGTAATTATACGTTAGAACATAGTACACTTTATGCATTCATATTGTGTATTTTGCAGAAAGAACCCGTGGAGAAATATCAAGGACCCACAACCATTTCGTACGATGCTACGCCTCCTGTGTCACAGTCTGCAGAAGATGAAACGAGTATGTATAACACACCCAAGACTTCTCTGGACGACTTTGAATTACTTAAGGTGATTGGTAAGGGATCGTACGGCAAGGTTACGCTCGTTCGCAAGAAGGAAGGCAAGCGTTTATTTGCTATGAAGTCGCTTAACAAGTCCAACGTCAAACGCCGCAACCAGGTAGAACACACACGCACAGAGCGACGTGTACTGGGTCGAGCCAAGCATCCATTTATTGTGCACCTTCACTACGCCTTCCAGACGTCACAGAAACTTTACTTTGTGCTAGACTATTGCCCCGGAGGTGAACTCTTCTTCCATCTTTCGCGAATGGAGAAGTTTGAGCCGAGCATGGCTCGATACTACTGTGCTGAAATCACTCTGGCGCTAGAACATCTGCACGACCTAGGCGTTGTGTACCGGTGCGTCGAGTATTCTATTGCTACGGTTGTTCTGTGCTCACATAAAATGTATCCAGAGACTTGAAGCCAGAAAACATTCTGTTTGACCCTGTTGGTCATGTTCTGCTGGGTAAGCTTATATAATCCACGAAGGGTCTATGAGCTATGAACGTTACTAATTATTGATTTTTTAGCCGACTTCGGACTTGCCAAGGAGGGAATTACTGATGGCGCTGAAGGCACCAACTCGATGTGTGGAACGCCCGAATACTTGCCACCAGAGATTCTAGACCGTGTTGGACACGGCACGGCCGTTGATTGGTGGGCGATGGGCATGGTGCTTTACGAGATGCTGACGGGCTTACCGCCGTGGTATACTCGCAACCGTCAGAAACTCTTTGATCGTGTGCGCAATGCTCCACTCACATTTCCAGATGATGTGGACCCTGTGGCTCAAGACTTTATCAGTGGTCTTTTACGACGTGATCCGAACAAGCGCCTAGGAAGCAAAAGTGCAGATGAGGTGAAAAATCATCCGTACTTCAGCGGCATGAACTGGCAAGACTTGTACGACCGCAAAATTCCACCACCATTCAATCCGTGTGCTGCTGCTGGTAATGCTGAGGAGACAAAAAATTTTGAAGCAGAATTTACCAAGATGCAGATCCACAGCGTGGAGAACTCGGCTCTCGCAGGTGTTCGCGTGTCAGACGCCTCGCGTCCGTCTATGACGTTCCAGGGCTTCACGTACAATACTCCAAACGATTTGTCCATGAGCGGCTCAGTTGGCCGAAGTTAATATCCTTAAAACTATGTGATTTACTTTCTTTCGCCTCTACTTTGCCTGAAAAAAGGAGCAGTGCTGAAAATAAATGGATCACAAAGCATCTTGGAAATGGATATACTGAGGGGAGATAAGATGCATATAGGGAATTTGGTGAAAAGCACTACTTTGGAGGAAGCGTATTGTGCATATATTGTACAAATTTGGCGAGCTAGAAGTCACGTGCGTTTGCTTGTTTTTAGTTTGTAAGAGAAAATGCTCGAGTAAAAATGTATCACAGCATTTATTTGTCTCTAGTCTGACCATCTGCGCCAGAGTTATCATCCGTCATATCATTGTCAGTGACACCTGTGCTACTGTTGTCGACTTGTGAAAGTTTCCCGTATTTGACCATATTTCGATATTTGTCCTTTAAATCCACATTCGATCGGAGACGGAGAACATCCGGATACTTCAATTTGATGAGTACCCACACATTGGCATATGAGTGATAGAGCCGATAACCTTCGATCAATGCTGCCTCTTCCTCTACTGACCAGCGACCTCTACGAGGACGTTTTCGCCGCCGAGCTGCCGCCAATTGAGAATCTGCATCGTCTCTTTGATTCTGCACACAATTAATGTTACATATGTAAGAAACCTTACCACTTATAAGCAGGACGAAATGAGTACCCTTCTCAGAGGATTCACGTGGTCATCTTCCTGACGAGCTTCTCTAGTTACTTTTGGTGTACGCAAAGGTACTGATACAACTTTTCGCTCTTCTGGACTTTCTTCTGAATTGTCCGAATGCATAGACTCAGTCGCGTCACTGTTAACTGTACAAAACCGAAGTGTTAGCTTAAAACAAGAAGCAAAGTGCCGAATGCGCAGATTAAAGTCCCATCCTGACGTAAAGGAACAGAAAGGAAGATGATGTTGGTGGACGCATTACCATTGCGGTTAATCTCTTGTAGATCCTGCTCGTGATCTTGGTCTTGTTTTTGCTCTTCTTGCGGAAAATCTTGATCTTGATCACGCTTGTGTTGTGGTTGACTTTGACCTCGCCGGTCACTTTGCGGTCGATCTTGATTTTGCTCATGCCGTCGCACGTCATCGCTAATCGTTTGTTGGCTAGCATCCGGAATAGAGTGAATCTGTGCGAGATCTTGCCATTCTTGATGAGTACCACTAAATCTTTTTTCTAAAATCGCACGCGGCACGACCTTACTGGAGTATGGATAACATAATCTGAGCACCAAAATCTTTGCAGCAGTAACTTTCTGTAATCTTACGCAGTTTCTTCCGAGACTTCAGCTGGTAAAACCAGCTCAAGCTTTGTGGGGCCAAGCATAACCGACTCAATCACCCATAACGCACGCTTCATGTCACGCCGGAAAGCAGCATCCTTTAAACAATACATCTCGTAAAACGAGTCCCAGCAACTCTAAAATCGAAGTCCAGCCAATCTATCAGTCGAAATAAAGAAAATGCAGATCTCTAAATTACAAACCTTCGGTTCATCTTGCTTGAAAATATTCGCAAAAGCCACAAGAAATTTCGTCAACTCCGTCGTGACACTTAACCTGCATCTCAAAATACAACTAAGATAAGCAACAATGAACATGACTATCCCCACACTTCATTTTGCACCGATTTTCTTTCATCGTGTCCTGAAGCACCAAACACGTCTCGTAAATACCTTCGGTATGGCACAAGTCGTCGCTCTCCAGTTTAAATAATTCTTCATCAAGATTTTCAAAAGCAACAGCAAAGCGCAATACCAACAGCTGTATCATAAAAAATTCAGCCACAATCACCAGTATTTGAAATGGCAGAGGCTCACGTGGAAAAATAGGGGAGAATTAAACAGAGCATTGCTGGGACACGATGGATTTAGTTTTTTTAGTTGTACCAGTCGCTCGAACACAAAAACGACGTCGAAGGCATCAACGTCTAGTTCTTGCCGAATAGCGGCCAGCAATGCGCGAAGGCGATACGGACTTGTATCAGACAACTCCACGCCAATTTTACGCAGAATTTCGCTGATGGCTTAGAAAAGAGGGATAGTGAGCGAACTATAGAGACAAAGCAGGTATACGCATAATAAAATAGCAGAGAAATTACCATTGGCTTCCTCCAGCGCGCCGATGTGGCAAAGAAACTCGCCGCAGTATTCCAGTGCGACTCGCTTTTCACGCATTGTGTAATAATGGAGAAATCTATTTTGTCTATATACTTGGAATTGTGACAACAAATGGTGCCGTATATTAAATTTTTGAAATGCTGGAAATTTTCCTGATTGTGCTGTGCGTATGCGCTGGTAGCTTGCTCAAATTTTCGTATATCAGAAAATTTATGTTTATCACGACAGAAAATTGTGATTTGGTTCTAGGTGCTCAGTATTTTTTCAGCAGAACAAAAGCATATGCATGGGCATCGGTTCGTTACGTGTTGTGCATACTCCAGGCGCCTCGCCAGGATAAAGTCTGGTCCAACACACCTGCCATCATTTCGTATCGCTCCATCATCTCCTATGCACGAGCATCATCTGGCTGGAGCAAGAAGTCATCAATTCTGGTCGCTTTGAAAATTTGTCTCTCGACAAGTTCAGACACATTCATCAGAATCTGCAATGTAGCTTGATTTAGAACGTGTAATCGCTTAACTAAGCTAGTACCAGCGCTCATTCAAATCCGTCAGCAAATAGCTTGTTCCGTCAGCCACACGCCGTTAAATCTCTCCATCATATACAAATTCAGCCAGTCGGATTTGATCTCGATCGCGTCAGATATTTCAGCCTAAATTATTAATCACTTCCAGAAACGAGTAGCAGTACGTTGAACGCGCTCGGTATGCCAATGATTGCACATATCAGATAATTTTAACGCGTGACAAAGATCTCAATCAATGACAAGATGATACACATCACTGACGCTAATCTATTATTTCAATACTAGCAGCCGTAAAACTGCCAAAAGAATTAATTGTCCGTCATCTACACCAGCTGGTCTGGATCAAGGGTCTAAAAGTGTGCTAGATGAGGAATTACGGAGAGTTAAATGATTACCGCATAAATGGTTGACCATGTACGGACACAGACAATTGGGCTGGACGTGCACTTTCTGAGGTTGCAACAACTTTATTTGAGCACATGCGGCGATACTTTGTCTTCGCTGGGATATATGTGAGCTGCTTTAGCGCAAACAAATGAGGCGAGATGGCGGGTTATCATATTGGACGTATACTAGTGAGAATCCAAGTATTCTCGTGTTGGTGTGTCCATTCTCAAGATATTACAATTTTATTAGAGCAAAAATGGTCACAAAGTATCGCCACCGTATGATCAAAGAGTTAAATGGGCCAAATAAACGATATTAGAGAACAATGTTTCATTCACAGTGGTTTTTGCAGATTCAAACGGTTCCAGCTTCAGCCTCGTTCTCTTTGTCGTCATTTACACGAACATCCACTACTCGGAATCCATCAAAAAATTCCTTATAGCTAATGACACCGTCTTGGTCACTATCTAGATAGTTGAGTAATTCCTCAATCTGATCGTCCGACAATGGCGAGTTGAGAACAACATTGAAAGTCCGAATAGCTGTGCGAAAATCAGTACGACTGATAAAGCCGCTATTCTTTGCATCGAACATTCGAAACGCGTTACGAATATGGATACGATGTTGGTAAAGTACATTCGACACTTGCTGTAAGACAGAGTTTTGCCACGTCAAGTCGCCTGAATGAAGCGTTTCCTGCTCCTTAAGATCTTGGATGCTAAATGCCGTTACAAACTCCTTATAGTCAATCGAACGGCCGCCATCACGGTCTACAGCAGCCATGACACGATACAAGAGACTTGGCTCAAAATCAAATCCTAGTTGCTTTAGCGCAAGCTCAAACTCACGATGCGACAAAACTCCATCCTGATTCTTATCAAAGTGGTAGAAATGATATTGTAATGACCCGGGACGGGCAAATAACGCCTTGCCAATTTGTAACAATGCTCCCATTGTCTCGACGTCAAGATTACTTGCGGGTTGCGGCGTGAACGTCGATTGGTCTTCTCCTGGTGACACTCGCCGTGTGAAAATGGGCTCGATCTCAGCTGCTGCTTCTTCATCTGTTGAAATTTCCATTGGTGTCTGACCTGGGTCTGCTCTTGGTGATGACTCCTGACTTGAACCCAAATCCGTGAAAATGACTTCAAAACGATGTGCAAACTCATTAAAATCAATGCGTCCATCATCATTCGTATCGGCTGTACGCATGAGCGCAAAAACTTGCTGGTCGGACAGACCTGTATCCATCTGTTTGAGTGTATTTAGAAACTCTTCGTATTCAATGAAGCCGCTCGAGTCCGTATCAAAGACTTTAAACGCTTGTTGCATATCACCAGCACCCATAGCACGATACAGTTTCTTGCAAATCAGAGCAATGATACTTTCTTGCCATCCACTATTGTCCATGGCATCATTTTCTATGCGATAGCGAGATAAAAAGCGCGAGTAATTAATGCGTCCCAATGTTTCATCTGCAAGTTTGGGTTGGTAAGTGAGAAAAGGTAAATCCAATTGCAATACCGAGCGCAGAGCTTCTGCCCAAATCAAGCGCGAGACTGATCCGTTCTGCTCGTCATCATGCTGGGTAAAGTACCAGTAAAGTGACGCCTTGTGATCGCAAATTCGTTCTGCAATCATCCGCAACGTATCCTCCTCCAATAGTCCCTGCAACTGAGCTGGCTCTGGCGCTTTGAAAGTGGTTTCATTAATCGAATGAGCATAAAATTGCTGAATCTCTGGATGAAGATCCGGACCTAGCGTCAGAAAAGCACCTTTATTCATTTGCGTTCCACAATATCTGGAAGCAGAAAACAACGTAATTAATCGACCTCCGTGAAGAATTTCGAACCCTTCAATAACACATTCATGAGAACGAATGATTAAAGCAATCTTGTTGACGAGACAGAAATTATTCGTGACACTGACACCAAACTCGACGCCAGCCCCCCGCTCCGATGGTTGACGAGATTGGATCATACGTGGATCACTCCATAGCATGTCTTCAAATATTTTATCTTCAAAACTTGATTCGTGAAGAGGGGGTTCACGTTTTCGTGAAATTTTACGTAAATGTGCCAATGTTACATTGTCACGCGAGAAGAGACCACCATGCACTACAAAGACTTTTTGCTGTAGCACTGCACAGAGTGGAATCGACTCAAAAAAAGTCTGAAAACACTCAAAGACGCACGCTGGGCGATCGAGATCGTCGGTAGTTCCTGCAGAATATTTGTCCCACACTTCGTCTTCGAATCCCATCCACGAGTTTTGGTTTCTAGATTCGTGATTTCCGCGGTTTAAAAACACACTAGTCGGGTACAAGAGTCTGAATAATAGAATTGTCATGACGACTTCAACGCCATACATTCCTCTGTCCACAAAATCCCCATTAAAAAGATACTTGTTGGTGCGAGTTGGGAGTCCGTTAATAGAAAAGATTGAAAACAGATCCTGCAATTGACCGTGAAGATCTCCTACCACTGTGAGTTTCTCACCTTCGACAAGTGTTATTTCTTGCAAAGTTGGCAGTGGAGCCAACGACTTGACACCTTCTTTAAGAACTTGAAGCACATATTTGTGGTGAAAGATAGTTGTGGTTTTGAACGAACTCAGGATCTTCAACACATTTGATAGCTCTAATGGCCAAATGAGATGAGGTCCTTCATATTCCGGCTCGACAATAATCTCTGCTACAGCCACTTCGGATACTGTTCGATTAAGAGACTAGAACGAAATAAAAAATCAAGTGAATATATGAGGAAATGGAAACAGATTTCTTTCTTATGAACCTGTTTTTTTGTTAATTGCGCCAGTGTATGTTCCGCTGATTTCAACTGTTCCGAGCGTCTAAGATTTAGTTGTTCTTGTGTATTGTCCAGCAAATTCCACGCGTGGGAGAATACAAGGTGGCGAAACTTTTGCGACGCGCCATACCGTCGCCAGACACTTTGCAGCACACAAGCTGCTTTATCGTGCTCGGAAAAAGGCTACAATTTTACGAGCAAACAACGTCAATGACCAAATCAAACGAGCGCAATTGCACGCAACAGCAGCATACACGAAGTTGCTCCTCACGGACAAAGAGACCATGTAATGGCTTGCATGTAAAAACACGGGTACCATCTTTTGTGGTCCCATCACTCTCGCCGCGAGGTCGAGTAAGCTCAACACCCACAAGTGCAGTGCTTTCAGGAATGTATCGTACGATCTATACGAAAATTAAGAGTTGAATCAGATAAAGAGGGATTATTACTGCCAAATTGCGTTACGTAGTCGAAGGAAACTACACTTATTCGCACCCCAGCGTATTTTCCGTGTACTAACACACGTGCTCCTACTTGGATGTAAACTTTGTCCTCTTCCCCTTCCATTTGCGACAATATGAAGCACAGCAGTTGATAAACAAATGTAACTAAAATCTGCCACGCATTTCCTACGAAGGTAGCAAAAATATCGGTGTAAATGATGTAATTCACACACCGTGGCATGGCAAGCGTCACACATAATAACTATCAACGTGCTGTACGATGGCCACACAGCCATCAGACATACAGTTGTGGCAGCTATACGACGTGCTATTACCAGGTGATACGATTGCGACAGATTATGAACGATGGCGGGAGCTCAAGCGGCTAGTTATTGTGCACGGTTTACCCCGCGATGATAGTCTTTGCTCCTTACGTGGACGTGTGTGGAAGGCTTTTTTAGGAGTGGAAAATGACGTCGATATGACCAAATACGCAGCACTTGTGGGCAGAGGAGCATCTCATTATGACGGTGACATTCGTAATGATACTTTTCGCACTTTTCGAGGAGATTTGGAGTTTGCGCAGCGCGTACCAGAAGAAAAGTTAGTGCGACTGTTAAATGTTTTTATTAATGAATTAGGATCAAGTCCATCTGAAGAAGAGAACTCGAAAGATGGAAAAAATGGCCGTTGTGGCAATTTGCCATCGATCAGGTGGGTGACGATGAAAATTGATAGCCACGATCAGTCTTGATAAAAAATGCAATAGATATGTTCAAGGTATGAATGTGCTGTGTGCGCCGCTTCTGTATGTATTGCCAGAGCCTGATGCGTACCACATGTTTTGCCAATTGATTGTGAGGCATTGTCCACATTACATGGCACCACAACTCAAAGGCGTTGAGAAGGGTTGCGCTTTGGTTGATAAATGTCTACAAACGGTGAATGAAGTTCTCAAAAATTTTCAAATAATCGGCGCGAACTTGTCATGACAATGCTTTTGCAGCTAGATCCAGATTTATATCGCCACTTAGCTTCACGAGGCATCACAGCGCAGATTTATGCTCTGCCACTAATTTTGAGTCTGTTTGCTTGCGTCCCACCCTTACATGAACTCCTTCGCGTTTGGGATGTGGTAAGTTGCGACTAGAATCATGCTTATGTCATTGTTAACCGGTTTGAATTAGCTTTTTGCAGTGGGTGTTCATTTTGTCGTCATACTAGCAGTCGCTCATACTGTGTTGCTACGCGAGCAACTATTAAAACTGTACGTTTGATTGTAACTGTACAAGTGCTTCAAAACGAGTGAGTCTCACTTGTGCCTTTTATTGTATCAGGGATATGGACCTGATGAAAGTCTTAAGCTTACGATGCGTACCACCTCTTCAGTCAGATTTACTGATCTCAGTTGCGTTGCAATTGCTTCACCGCTTACCAGAAGATCTAGTATACGAAATTGCTCGCCATCCATTTGCAAATCCAGATGCACCTACGAGTTTGCCATTGCATCCAAAGACAATATCAGCCATCGCGACACAGGTCCGGCAGCACAAATCGAGTCGAAGTGGTCGCCTCTCACAAGATCATTGGACAAAAGATAAAGTTCCGAGGTCTATGCACAGCACAGACTTACAACTCGAATCGCCTCGATCAGAACGTGCCCGCCCGCCTTGGAGGATTTAACTTTAAAGTGACGACTGAAAAGGCTATAAAAGGCTATAGTTTCCTTGCACATTGCAGCAAGAGGCCAATAAAAGTAAATTTTGTAAATGTTTCTGACTTAAACATTCCTTTTTCGTATTCAAAAGCGTTTTGTTCTGTCACTAAAAATATTTTCCTATTATCGACGAAACTTTGGACGTGCAGCTTTGCGCTCAGCTTTCTCTTTCTTTCTGATCATGTTAGGGTCATTTTCTGTTGTCGAGTCTGGTGTGAAGACGTAATTAAGCAGCATGCGGCCAACATGGTACAGTATGTAGCCTGGGATGACGAGATACACGAGCCAAAAGTAGCTTGAGATCATAAGTCCAGCTTGCACGAAAAGTGTTATGATCAGGACATCCATCGCATATCTGTAGAGCATGGCAGGATATCGTCAGCGTCACTTTCAGTTAATATTATATCCAACGTTAGTTTACTCGCTGTTGCCCCCTTCTTCAGCTGCTGCAACTACCCATGAGTAGCAAAAGTAGGTGGAGAAGGTCAGATAGAAGTAGCCTACATAGGTCCACGTGGTAACCAAGCTAGAGTGCCACAAAATGCAGTACACAAAGTACAGCACGTTAATAGGCACGATCCATTGCTGTAGCCGTGTGCTAAGTGATGCACTTGAGCGCTTTGCCTTCTTGGCCGCTTGATTAGCCTGAGCATGGAGGAGAACGTTAGCACATCATGCCTTCGCGGAGACATTGAGGTGTTCTTTGTACCATTTCGCTTTTTTGACGTCAATGGTATATGTACCATCAAAGTAAACTACCATTTTGACTTTTAATCCCTACAAATAACCTGTACCTTTTTTCGAGATTGTGAAAAAAGGTTAGCTTTCGATTTTAAGCATTCAGACATGCAAGACCCATTTTGGATCGTTGACATTGTGAATTGAAAGATCGTGAAATTGATTATTAAAGTCAAATCGTTAGCGAAAATAGATTACATTGAAAAGATGAAGCGACGCAATACCAGCCTCGACCGGCCATATCGTCTTGTGGATCCTTTCCACATCGAACGCGATGAGCGAACGCATGAAAAGTTCACTTTTATTACGAATGCCATCCATACTACAAAGTACAATGTATTAAATTTTCTGCCCTTGTGTTTGCTTCACCAATTCCGCCGGGTACGACATATGTGCTTCTTTATTGAAATAGTTGAACTTGACAGCGGGTAAAAGTCGGCGAATGTGTACTTTCTAGTGATCGCCATCATACAATCAATAAAGCAGCTTTCGCCTCTCACACCAATAACGGCAATTGCCCCACTTGTGATGGTAGTTAGTGTTGGAGTGCTACGTGAAGCATTGGAAGATCAGGTGAGTAAGGAATGAGATGAATGAGAATTATCTAAGCTTTTTATTTACCAAAAAAAATAACTTATATTGCTAGAAAAAGCGTTCGTCTGATGGCGCAATTAATTCCCGACCCGTCGTTGTACTAAGGAATTTCGAAATACAGCAAGTTGTATGGGAATATATAGAGGTGAGTTGAAAATCCAAAAGCTGGATATGGAAACCTCAACGATCTGATGATTTTCATCTCTATTGTAGGTTGGAGATCTTGTTCGGATTCACGAGAAGGAAGCAATTCCAGCTGATGGAGTGATTTTATCCAGTAGCGAAGAGAATGGTATGGATCGTACGTTACAACGTAACATTAAAAATGTAAGATATTTTACGCGACATTCTATCCGCAGGTTCATGCCTCATTGACACGAGTAACTTAAATGGAGAAGCGAATTTAAAAGTCCGTGGATCGTTAGGTGTGACAACGAAGCTCGTATTTGACTCGACTTCACGCGACAAAGAAAAATATTATGTCACATGTGAAGAGCCGAATCAGGATTTGTATCGATTCGCAGGAAATCTTTCAATCGAATCAAAAACTTACAGCCTGAATGAAAAACAATTTCTTCCTCGCGGCTCGACACTGATGAATACAAAGTGGGTTATGATGCTTGTAGTATACACAGGTAAACATGGACTTTGCTTATCACGAATTACAATTTTTTAATTGATTTCGCTTTCGTATTAGGTCATGACACAAAAGTTATGAAGAATGCTCGAGCGGCACATCACAAGTTTAGTCACCTTGAAATGCGATTAAATCAAATTTTGTGGCTCGTTTTCTTCATACAAGTGCTTTTGTGTGCAATCGCGGCATGTGTACATTATATCCACTTGGATATTAAGCACCTCAATTATGCGGGCGATGAGCACTCGAAGCTGGAAATTCTGTTGCTTTTTCTCTCATTTCTCGTGCTTATGAATACGCTCATTCCAATATCTCTTGTGGTCACAATCGAGATCATTAAAACAGTGCATGCAAAGTTTATCACGTGGGATAACAGGATGCGCAGTAGCAATGGAGAGGGCGCTATAGCCAACACATCGTCTCTTACTGATGAGCTTGGACAAGTTCAGTACCTTTTCACCGATAAAACAGGAACATTGACTCAAAATCAAATGGTTTTTCGAAAATGTAGCATTGGTGGAGTTGTTTATATCTCTAGACAGATACAATCCGTACTTGGTAGCACTTCTGGTGCATCACTTGAATTTGGTGGTGAGTGTCTTTCAAACCAGCTTCCTACAGTTTCGTCTTTTCGTCAATGGTTAAAAAATTTAGATAGTCTAGAGAGCCGCTTAGCACTGGCAATGGCTCTCTGTCACACTGTAGTTTGCGAATATGATCGCACGACTGGAGCAATGTCATACAACTCGGATTCTCCTGATGAATGTGCTCTGGTCCGTGGTGCGGAAGAAATGGGCATCAAATTATTTGAACGATGTGGTCATAAACTTTACATTGCGATTACTGAAGACGGTCGATGTGGGTCACAATTGAAAACTGTCACGAGCGTTTTAACTTTCGACATTTTGCGCGTGCTTCACTTTTCAAGTGATCGAAAGCGAATGACAATAATTGTCCGAGACGAAAAAGGAACAGTGAAACTCTATTGCAAGGGGGCTGATAGTGTTATTCTAGACCGCTGTGATAAATTTCTGTCAAATAAAGAAGAGACCATGTCACACGTGACACAATTTGCTGAAGAGGGTTATCGGACGTTATTGTTTGCGGAGCGTGATCTGGTGCGCAAAGAATGAAATATCGCCTAGTCAAAATTGCTTAAGAAAATAATCTTGTTTGATAATGGTATCAGGACGAGATTTATTTTACTTCGTGGCAAGATCGATATGATGTAGCTGAATTAGACCTTCAGTCTAAGGAAAAAACGATACAAGCACTGGTTGATGAAATTGAGCAACAGCTTACTTTGATTGGAGCAAGTGGTAAGGGAAATACGTGTATTATTGTTTGGTGAGGTCACTCATGCGCTGTTCATTTTCAGCTATCGAAGATAAGCTTCAAGTGGGGGTTCCTGAGACAATTTCTGAGCTTCAGAAGGCAGGAATCAAGGTAACTCTGCTTTATTTATTTCTGTATGAATCAAGAAATTATCTTACGCATTGTTAGATCTGGGTTTTGACGGGCGACAAGCTTGAGACGTCACTTGAAATTGGCAAACTTTGTCAAGTCGTGACCTCAAAAATGCAAGAGATTATTCTACGAGTAGCGACACGAGAGATTTTCATTGCACAGCTCGAATGCGCTCTTCAAAATTCAAAAGTGCGCACCATTTGACATGCATAAATCTTTCATTCGGATGACCTGATTGCGGCACATGGCATGCTTAGGAAAGTCAAGCAGTGATAATCGATGGCAATGCTCTTACTTTAGCACTCCATCCGACGTGCCGCCAAAAGTTTCTCAAATTGGCGCTGCAGTCTGCAACTGTAATTGTGTGTCGCGCATCACCACTTCAGAAAGCTCTCGTGGTGGAATGTGTTAAAGCAGGCGTTCCAGATGTTACTATGGCGGTGTAAGTAACTACAGCGAAAGGCTATTGGGTCCATATATTAATCAGTATTTGAATTTGGTCTAGTGGTGATGGAGCCAATGATGTAAGTATGATTCGAGCGGCACATGTTGGAATTGGCATTGTTGGTCAAGAGGGCATGCAAGCCATTCGAAGCGCAGACTATGCCGTCCAACAATTTAGTCATTTAAATCGACTTCTTCTGTACCATGGTAACAATCTTGATCAAAGATGATTGTTCAGTTAATTTGGTACTTACAGCACTATGACCAGGTCGCCTATCATATCTTCGGACGAGTCAATGTATCGACTACTTTCTCTACAAAAACATTGTCTTTACCTTGCCCCATTTCATATACGGAGTCCTATCAGCCTTTTCAGCTCAGGTATGTCATATAATAAATATTGTCAATGACTTCATGCGTAGAAGGCTTATCAATGAATGTTAAAGACATTCTTTTGTGATTTCTATATCACAGCCTACAACGTCGCGTTTACGGCCCTCCCCGTCACAGTTCGCGCAATTTTAGAGACGGATTTACCGCAAGCAATTGCATGCAAGTATCCTGAGCTTTATCGATTTGGAGCAAATGACATGTTTTTCTCGCCTCGGACAATGGCAAAGTCTTCGATTTTTGCACTCTATCATGCTGTTATTGCTACTTTTGTACCTGTCCTCCTGGCCCAGCACAATAATATTGGTGAAGGGGATTCGTTTTGGGTAGCCAGTGTTGCCTCGTTCTTCTATGTTGTACCCATTGTTCACAGTCAGATCTTTTTCGAAACATTGAATTGGACGTGGTTGAGCTTCCTGGCATACACGCTGTCTCTGGGGGCATTTCTTTTCTCTATCGCCGTCTACGATCAATTTACTAGCGACGTACACGGTACTTGGAGGAAAGTAGTAGGAAAAGAAGGCTTCTGGCTTGGATTTGTATTGTCTCTAGCCGCCTGCATTCTACCTGTCATAGCGTACAAGTGGTAAGTTGTGAAAATTTGGAAGCAGATAGCACCAGCTTTGACCAATTTGTTATTTTGTCTAGTTACGAAGAAAACTTTGACTCATTTCATCCTGTTTACATTCTTCGGCGAACACGCTTGCGCAACAAGATTGCCGACTCGTCTGGAGTGATCACTACGTCTAGTAATCCCACTTTATCAACCGCTATCGTCCCACATCTTCGTTGACAAGAGTAGTGTAGAGATTTAAGGCCAAGTATATATTACAAAGGCATAAAGTTTGAGATAATGTACTTTTGTATCTCGTCATATATTTCAGTGGTGACGCTTCAATATGCTGGCGTTCAGAGGACACAAGAAACAGAAAGTTCCAGAGCCGACAGGTAAAGATGCTGTCAACTTTCGCAAGTTATTGTTCCTCCCAATAAACGAAACGGAAAATCTGCTCTCGCATGACGCATGGGAGCGAGTGAGTTCTTGTCATAAACTCTTTATTCGTAAATGCTGATTTGACATCATTTCTATTCGTTAATTGTAGCTAGATCTCCGTTGGTTAGAACTTATGAAGAGAAAGATGTTGCAAGCTTCATGTGTTGCTCGAGGATTGCCAAGTAATGGCAACAAATCTACATTAATTCAACGTCTTGCAGCTTCATTAAGTGAGCAGCGAGAAGCAGGCAAGTAATATCCGTCATGGTTTTATTCTTATGAACGCGTCTTAATGGTACCATGAGCATAGAAAATCGACAACAACAAGAAGAGGAAGAGGATTATGAGCGTCAATTGGACATGCTGGGTGGTGTATGGTCGTTCGGATCAGGCTTTGCTGGACAGCTCGGTCACGGGAATCTAGAATCATCAACCCATCCGAAACTTGTTAAAGACCTTCGAGGATGTCGCATTGCTCACGTTTACGCAGTAAGAGAGGAGACGCCTATGATCGAGCGAGAAGATTATAATTGATTCTTTGTGGTTCAGGGCTTTGACTCGGACGTCGCCTTTGCTTTGAGTCGGACTGGAGACATTTACGTCTGGGGGAAACGTTCGGGTCCTACTGGTCTTCCATCTGTAGTATTTTGTTCTGAACATGCAGATAACACTCACAAGAGTGAGAGTGATATAGACCTCAGCGAGAATGAGCAAAATGATGAAGAGGATTCCAAGAAGCTCACTGATACAATTATTCAACCAGATCAAGCACTTTTCGAACGATGTGAAGACGAGCGAAATGAAAGCATTAAATTGGAGAATTGTACAAAGGATAGAGTGGAAGATATTGTGCTTCCTGTAAAATTATCGACGCTTTGTGGCGAAGGTGTGAAGCATATTGCTGTCGGTCGAGTGCATTGTTGTGCCGTGACAAAAGACGGAGACGTGTATACATGGGGACAGAATGATCACTGTCAACTAGGAGCTGAACCTATTCATAATGTTTCGGAGGTGCTACTTAGAAAAGCACGACATGGGAATGATTGTGTGGAGCCGCAATTATGGGAAAGCACCGTATTGGAAACGTGTGTCATTTCTATTGTTGCTGTGGGTACGAATCATACATTTGCGGTCACAGACAAAGGTGAAATGATGGCATTTGGGGCCACATACAATACAAGAGAGCACTGTACTTTTGCTCGCAATATTGCAAAACTTCGAGTCTCCCAGGTATTGTATATTGTAATATTGTATTTTGACAAAACCCGTTCATACCAATAGATGACTTCCCAAAGATCACTTGTGGCGCCTTACATGCTGGCTTGGTAACTGATGAAGGACAAGCATATACATGGGGAAGTGGTGATGGTGGGTACGAGTTCTAAAATATTCGCCAAATTTGTTGAAAAAGTGATTGATCGTTGGTGATATGCAGCCGTCTTGGACATGGAGATAACATGTCTTTTGTCCATCCAAAGCTGGTCGATGCATTAAAGACTGATATTATTGTGGAGCTAGCATGTGCGTGCTGGCACACGGTGGCAATTGTGTTGATTCCACCATTGTTGAAAGGCGGCATGGTGCGTTTAATGTAATTAAAATTTTGAAAATCATGATTGAGGAGTCATCACTGTTTTTTGATTCAGGTTTACACTTGGGGAAGTGGTCGGCTTGGACAGGTACTCAAAGGTTATAAGTCAAAATAGATTTAGTGTCACCAACTTTTGGTAAAGCTTGCGCAAGGAGGAAAACAAATGTCGGCTCTTCCAGGTCTTGTAACGGACTTGCTTACCACGCATGCACTGATTAGAAAAGTGTGCGCGGGTATGTACCATAACGTGGCGCTATCTGTCGATGATGAGGTATAGCTTGTGCACTCCATTGTTAGCAATATTATCCTAATCCTTTGAAAAATGCATTAGGTATTTACATGGGGAAGTAACTTGAATGGGTGTCTTGGAAGACCCAACGAATTGAAAGATTTAGAGGAGACGTTTTGTGCTGTTCCCGGTCGTGTGGAAGGCATGGACAATTTTATTGGTCGACCATGCTCTAGTTCGTTTCCACATTAAATGTCGATTTCACAATACTTTTTGCTCTTACACTGTCTGGTTGCTTCAAGTTGCTGCAGGTCGCGAATTCACATTGATTGCCACTAAACCATACATTGGTCCAAGCCAAGAGGAAATTCAGCGACAAAAAGAAGAAGAACAACAGCACATTCAAAGCATCAAACGCCAAATGAAAGTCGTCGATGACGAGAAGCGTGACCAATTACAAAGAATTCAGCAATGTAAACATGAAGTTATTCTGGCAAATTTAAATGCAAATTACCCGAGATGCACAATTTGCACCACAAGTCTCATCTGTCCTGGTTTTCAGCCAAATCCGGATAATCCGACCTTATGCAAACATTGCATACACGACCAGCATAAACATCACGGGCAACTGCAAGCAAGTGACAGTCATGTGACTTTACCATTTCTAACACAATCTGTGGAAAAATTAGGCATCCAAATTGACTTTAGTCATATCGCAGATATTGGATTGGAGGACGAGCTCGAAGCATTGCTCGATGAAAAGGATTAGAAATGCAAGATATAAATGTAAAATTTTATAAGCGACGCAAAATTGAAAACATACCACTGCTTGTTGTACGAATGAATGGCGTGATGCCAAAGCCAACACGTTTGCAAGTTTAAGACGTAAAAACTATTGCATACATTAAACTAAGCCAGGTCAAATTACGGCGAAGGTCTTAGCAAAATGATGAGATTTCAAGGTAAAACGTCCAAGCGTCAACCATAACAGCATTTTGCTAGATTTATCTTTCTACGCTAACTCAACCGTACCCAGGAAGGATGTCCGCAAAGACAGTTTTATTTTTTCCAATCAGCAAGCGTTAAGTATGTTTCAAGAATTGAGTTCGTCGTTACTACATTAAAGTCAATGTCTCTCCGCTGTCAATATCACAATATTACTTTCTAAACCGTATGACAGACATTCCCTGTTCAATATACATACATCATTTGACAGAAATGAAGGTATTGTCTTCATGAATAGCTATTCTGGCAAAGTGGTAGATGCCAAATACAAAACACGGAAATTATTTGCTGCTAAATCCCAAAAAATTGCGAAGTACTGTTCTCATGCATTATATGAGAAATTTAATTACAGAGAATTCGACCTACACAATTTTCACATTCAGATTATTGTATCTGACTTTGATGTTTGTACAAAAAATTGGAAATAGCTAAGATTTCAAAGAAGACGAAATGCAAAGTTCTTCTCGAATTACTCAAGCACAAATAAATTGGCAGCACATCTGGGCTTGTTGTACAGATGGAAGCGACAGCTAAACATGTTCGCGTTTTCCAGACAAAATATTTATCGCGTACAGCACGAGAGAAGCTGAGCCAAGCAGTCGGACTGAAGACGACTTGATAAATTTTTGCTGTTTTGGGGCAAAACTGTCCCAAAGTAGACATCCACACGTCAACCATAACAGCAGGTTGCCGAGTTTAACTTTCTGCGCCAATGTCCGTATACCATTTTGCACTGATGCCCAACCTACTAGACTACTGTTGAAGTCACAATTATTGTGATTCGCCTTTATCACTGCCACCCAGGAAAGGATATCTGCAAAGTCCACCACGCCGTTTTTGTCGTAATCCAGAGCTTTCAGGTATGCATCTGCGTCTGACATATCAATTCTTTCGCCTAAACATATAACAGGTTCGATAAGCTACTCACCATATCCAAGGATTGGCTCGAGACACGTACCTAAAATATTGAGTATAAATTGTGACACTTTTCTTGAGTTTAATTGTAGACTGCCATCTGTGTCCATTAACGAAAACATTAACTTCACTGTGTCAAGTTCTTGCAAAGTAAGCAGCTAGCACGATCACGTGAACACACTAAAACATTAAACTGACATAACATTCTATAGAGAGACCCACATTTGAACGCTCGTCAACTTCAGGGATTTCCATATTGGTTATCGCTAGATTTCGATGGATTCGAGATGGTGCTGCACTTGTTGAGTTTTCCTTGACCGATTTCCATTTTATTCCTTCATCATCCAGCACTTTTCGAAGTGCTTGTGGGTGCATTTCGCTTGTCAAACGCCGTCTTCGATCTGTTCAAGTATTACTTCAGTTTCAAGCCCCTTTCGGCAAAGTAGATATTGTGACCTTGATTACCTGCTGGATTGTCGTTTTCCTCTCCCACCACTGCACCATCATTCTTTCGATATCTTTGCTTATTAAGCTTACCCGACTGAACTTTCAATCCCTCCGCCAAGCATAAAACTTCTTCAAAAAACTCCTTGCTTGCCGGAAGAAAAGGCAGTGTCTGATTAAATAATCGCCACATGTCCAAACCTCGTTCAGCACTTGGAATCGGTGGTGCTGGATGTCCAGCCGAGACGAGTTGCTGAATATCCCACGACCATGGTTCGTCCTTGAAGAGTAAGTATGCGGCCTAGCGACAATACAATGCAGGTAGAAGTATAGTTCAAGAAACGGAAATAGTAAAAGTAAGGCGTACCGTGTTTCCATAACTATCACAATAATTCGGTGCCGAGAAGACAGTGATAAGCGGCGGCATGGATTTATTACCTCGAGTGTCGAGTGTTTGGTACATCTCATCATTGTAGTGAAATTTGTAACCTTCATCTTCATATTCATGTGCCCGTATGAATGACAACAGATTATTACACGTTAAAAACTCAAATGTTGCCGCAGCATTGAAGTAGTAGGAACACCCTCGAGTCTATCAGTAAATGAGACGGAATCAGCCAGCACATTGGATTTTGTAAAACTGGTAACGTCAGCGTACCTGATTTGGTTCCCACATTGGTTCAATGACTACTTTCTCGTCAACGTTCTGACTGACAGTCGCTGGATCTGCCCACAAAAGATCACAGAATAGTCCAGTCGTCGGAATTTCTCGACGTCGATCAATGACTTGAATTTCGTCAATTGTTTTCAGCTTAGGTGATAGGCCACCGTGAACACAAAAGACTTTACCACGTGACATCGATAACAAGGCAGCAATGGGCATTGACTGGAAACAAGACAAAAAGTGATAGTACGCGGAGATGCCGTACTTGACTCGACCTAACAATGTGGTAACGTGAACATGGCATTGCCATGATTTTATGATTACTGAACATACATTCGTTGCGAAATCCGTAGAAAGAGGAAATGGATTCACATTCGTGATTGCCACGCAGCAAGACTACTTTGTCAGAAAACTAAGATACGAAACTTGTTATAAACATTCTTCTCGGTGAATTCACATTTCTTACACGAAGTTTCAGCAAGAGCAGATATAAAATGACTTCACATGAAAATGCGCCGCGGTCCACATAATCACCGAGGAAAACCAGCTGGACATCACGTTTTGCTAACGTGGTAACATCAACATCGTCCATTAATTGCATAAGGTCGTAAAACTGGCCGTGAATGTCTCCGAATACTAAAGCATCATGAAACGTAATTAATTAAGTTCAAGCCATCAGTGTATCCTTTGTCACAAAAGATAATATGGTATTGTACCGTAAGTCGTTGCTCGTTGGGGCACAGTCACAACGTTCGTTTCCACATCCATCAGCGATTGCGCTTCATGTATTACGTCTAGTGTGTCGCTAACAGCCAGCAAAGTCTGCTGCTCAAACGCTTTGCGTACCTCTTCGAGCGTTAAAAGCACCTTGGATCGCAACATGTTTACGTTTATCAAGCAAGGTCTTTTGTACCGCTAGATGCGAAAAGTACCAATTTTGCGAAAGGGCGTAAGCACTTTAGCGTGCATTCCGTACCTCCAAACCATTGTAAAGGGAAACGTGTCACACAATGGTTTGGGTGCTGCTGTCCATGGAGGTATTACAACAATGAATTTCGTCAATGAAGTGGACTAATTCTAGATAGCCATACAATTTGCGTCGGGAATGACTCTTTTGCTTAATATATTTTGAATAAAAACAGTATCCTTACGCCTGATCCACATTCTGCGGAACCACGTTCCACAAACACAGATAATGCCTTAGATATTTTTCAGTATTTCAGGCAAATTTGATTATGAACGAATCAACCAATTTTGGGTTATCTATTTGCAAATCATGCGTATCATATGTTGAAGTGGTCGAAACCGTTCGTTCTTGCACAGCATGCAGTCGGATCACAGCCTGACCTTCGTCTACCTATCTCCGCACGCCACACATTCCCCTTTCTCACTTGCGTCCTTATTGACTGGATACATCCCCAATCGGCCGACATTTGGCTCAAACCATCTAAACTGTCTATCTGGGCTCGCGACTCTGAAAGCGACAGGTCCATTAATTTCCCTTTTCGTCAGTCCGCGCTCCATCCGTCACTATTGAATTCGCACTCGTAGTATAATGTCCGCACGCGGCGATAATCAATACCGCACGCGAAGTTCCAGTGCCAAGCGATCGTTGAGCTTTAGCTCGCCATGTACCCGTGTCGTGAGCCCTCCAAGCCTCTCTCCAAGTCAGGACAAACCCACTGACCGTGTCTTAACCTTCTTGCAGAGTGCACGTGACCGAAACGTACCCGTTCGCTCTGGCAAGTGGAGTACCGCAGAAGACGCGTATCTGGCCAAGCTTATTTGGCTCTTCAAATCCGGAATATTGGCAGACATGGAGCCTAAGACGTCCCTTCGGTCCTTCCTAGCAGTAATGCTTAACTGTTGTCCCATGCGCATCTCAAAGAAGCAAATGCATGGACACAATTTCATGGGTAAGATCAAATACATGCCACAAGTGACTCAAATGACAGAACAGCAATACGAAACGCTTTGTCGCGAGGTCAGGACGCTACGAGATGCATTTTTACAAGCGTGGGCCAAAGATGAGTACGCTCGACGTAACTCGACCGTCGAAATGTGTGACTCAAGCTTCCAAGAGTGGTTCAATAAGGTCGTAGCACTTGTACCTACACCTAAATTGGTCAGAAGGTCAATTCTTCAAAGCACCAAAAAGCGGCGCATTGAGTCATTCAACACACTCACAGCGCAAATGGAAGATGTCACGACGCAAAAAGTCCAAAACTTGGCTACAGCTCAACCACAGCCAGAGACGCAAGAGCAAGATAGTGTGCAGACCAATGCATTCATTACGATGCTGGAACCAGCCGAAATTATTTCAGAGAAATCCGCACCCGTTCCTGAATCAAATTCTGGCTACAAAGTGATGATGCTTCCGGCTGCATACTGTGATGAAATCGGGAGTATGGAGGATTGGCTGGATCTAAGTCATACTGACGCTCATTGGACCGACACTAATAGTGACAATCCAGGAGAAGTGTGCTACACGTTGTGTGAAGATCAAGTGCAAGTATCCGTGCACATGAGTGACCAAGATCCTGCAGCTAATGCATTGTCCATGACGCGACAGTCGTCAAAATTGCTAATTGACTTTGGTGCACCAAGTTGCTGGTCCACAAGCGAAGAGCCCAAATCCCTCTACGACTATTCTCATTGGTCCGAGACTGATTTTTCCAACGAATTAGCTATGGGCATTGATCCTAATGTGTTTAACTGGGACGACATGTTGCCACTTCCTCAGGTGACAAACAGTCCGACGCTGAATTTTCCATAAGTGTTTGCAATTCGTCAACTTGTAGCTTCATTGTGGAAGAATTTTTACTCTCCTTTGATCGTAATTTATGCAGTAATTTAATCCTTAGTGCAATTTTTGTCAGATTGCCCCTTGATTGCTTCTAATTGTTGCCTCAAACGCACAATCTCACTTTGCAAAACCTTAAGCTTCGTTTCTTCTGACGAAATCGTGTCGGGTGCATGATCACGTGATCGAATTGTGGCAAGTTCAGCAGCCAAAGCACTTGCTTTTGTCACAGTGCTCCAATTACTCGACAAGACTCGCAAAACTCGCTGTTCGTTATCCCGATCTTCCTCACGTAAGGCTCCCGACCGCATTTGTGCCAATAAATCAACTTCATCTACTGCAGTCGTAACGCTCGTGGCGTCACGTAGTTCTCTCCAGTCCGGACGAGGTGTGCATACTCGTTTGATGTGTGCAACTTGATCTTGAAGACCTTCAAACTCAATATTTACTTTCATTTTCTGGTCATTCAAATCGTGCAAAAGGTTTCGCACATCAAATATCGCTACAGTGCGAGCTTGAACAAAGGCTTGACGCTCTTTAAGTGTGTCTTGCAATAATTGATTTCGTGCTAATGCCAACGTGAACCGTGCAAGCTGCTGCTGTGTACACTTTCTTGAGCCAACGCGAGACAAAGACGACAATGAAGATGTTATTGGTACTTTACGCAAATCTTCGAGTCGTTTCATTTTTACATGATTAACTTGCTCTTCCTTTTTCAGCTCGAGACTTGCGTCATGGACTTGCCGCTTTATATCGTTGTGACGTAGCTCCAGGTCATCTATAGTCGCGCGAAGATTGTTACATGCCCAAGTACGCAACTCTATTCTTTGTCGCATCGAGACTTTATCATGGCAAATGGCACTTGAACTCGCATCAACTTTGTCCGTGCTGATATCTCTAGGCTCTAACGACTTCGTGCCTAGCACAGTTGATTCCATTTCCCGTATCAACGCAACTTGGCGCTCTTTTATTCTCTCTGGTAGTGTATTGTTGCGCTGTGTGAGTTGTTGAATTTGGTTACGCAAGTTTTGACATGCTGCAGCTTCATCAAGAACCATTTCTTGTGTGCAACGAAATAGCTGCGAGTAGAGAACTTGTGATTGCTGATTGCAATCATCCGATTTCGAAGCAAACGACTGCCAACAAGCATGCTTCAATCCACCCAAAATTTCGTTTGTACATTTATTACTTGACATAGTGAGCATCAGTCGTTGCAGCTTCTCAAAAGCTTCTTCTGGTGTCATCGGCTTTTTAACTTTGTGCTTTTTCTCTGCTTCAGCAACTTGTTTGAGTACACGAGGTGAGCGAAATATCGCCTGTGGTGAATCAAAATCGTGGATTGGGTACGAAAGCGATAGGCAGACTGTATCATGTTTGTGTCGATTTCGAGCAGATTGCTTGTGATCCATTCGTGATGTTGTAGTGCGTGCACATGACGATTGATGGTGCAAAGTGTCCATGACGAAATTACGTCGTCCTTACAGAATGTCACTGAAGAAACGGTCCAAGCAAAATATTTTTATAATTGGCACTAAAAGCAGGTACATACTATGATGCAGTTGCTCGCCTCACGTAGTGTACGCAGCGGGATATCTGAAGTGTACTTAACGGAAAGCCTGAACTCAACCACGGTGCATATTTCTATATGTCCTTGTACGCCTCTGCGGTAATTTTTAATGCAATCTGGTGATGATACAATTCAGGAATTCAGAATATGTGCGGAAATTCACCAGGAAATTCAAAAGCTTTTGATCAACCAAGAACAGGAATGGGAAGGCGTGACAGGAAATACACTTGCTCCAAACGACTGCAAACAGTTGATCGAGGCTGATGTGACAAAGGCTCGAAGCGATGACGATCAAAAGTCGCTTTGTGGCAATTCTTGTTATGCCTCTTTGAACGCCAAGTACAAAATCATGCTGGATAATAGTTGTTTCGATAGCGACGATGCTGACAAAAAAGCAAATGGTCAACTTCGAGCCGCGGCGTACCAAATCGCATGTCAAGCCAATGCTGACGGCAAATATTGCAGTGCGTAACGTCTACAATCTAGCATAGATTCAACAGCTTACAACTTTGATGCTCCCAATAGTGCCCATGCTGGATGAGTTGGTTAAAAAAGCTGGTGTATCCTTCTCGCTCTGCGATGATATTGTATCCGAGCTTGGTTGTTGCTTCCAAAGTTATCGGCAATACTTGCAACTTGGGACTCCAGCCAGTGTAATTGCCGTAAATGAAGCCCAGACCGAATGCTCAGCCAAAGGTGTCCAAGACTTGAACCAATTGTGTCCTTGCGTGAATAACCAACACGCCTTTGTCGACACCCCCTTCTGCTCACGTACGTATCCACAAATTTCTTAATAATTTTAGCTTACAATTGCTTTATTACAGATGCTTCTAAAATGTCCCCCGTTTTGGCCATTGTAGCTCTTATTATTATAAGTTTTTTGTAAATTCAGCCTCTCTTTTGCTCGACCTGGAATTTTTATTGTATGTTACCCCCCCATCACTTTTGAAATAGTGTCGATACCTGTATGACGAACACTCAAGAAAAAACCGCGATATCTATTGTAGACGGACATTTTGTAGACCAGTTCGGTCGCATTGCATTGTTGCGTGGTGTGAACCTCGGCGGGTCGTCCAAGTTACCGTATGGTTACGGACACACAGATGATCAGAACATGAGTGACTTCTTTGATGGCGCCACACATGTGTCATTTGTTGGTCGTCCATTCCCCTTGAAAGAAGCTGATTTGCACTTGTCCCGCTTGCAGCGTTGGGGGTTTACGCTCTTGCGCTTTGTCGTAACGTGGGAGGCCATTGAACATGCTGGACCGGGCCAGATCGATCATGAATATCTGCAATACCTTCGTGCTGTGATTGAGAAGGCAGCCGATTACAACATGCTAGTGTACATAGATCCTCACCAAGATGTTTGGTCTCGTTGGACAGGTGGTGATGGAGCTCCAATGTGGACGCTTGAATGCATCGGCTTTGAGCCACGCAACTTTGAAGTAACCAAGGCAGCACTTTGTCTCGAGACATGTGGACTTCCAGCCTCTCAATTCCCAAAAATGATTTGGCCGACCAATTATGGAAAATTAGCGTGTGCAACTATGTTTACGTTGTTCTGGGCGGGTAGAAAATATGCACCAAAGTGTTTTGTAGATGGTGTACAGATCCAGGAGTATTTACAGTCGCATTACTTGAGTTCGATGGCGGCTTTGGCTCAAGCTTTAAAAGGATTGACGAATATCGTAGGATTTGGCACTATGAACGAACCATCGTGTGGGTTTATTGGGGTCACGGACCTGGAAAAACCTGTAGGATTGTTTCAAAATGGATACGCACCCACCGCGTTACAGGGTATGGCTTTGGGTGAGGGAATTGCGCAAGACGTAGGTTTTTGGAATTCAAGCGTCTGGACTTTGATACGTGGCAAACCGTCAAGAGTCGACACGGTCGATCCACATGGACTGCGTGCATGGAAAGACGGATTTGAGTGTGTGTGGAAAAACGCAGGGGTATGGGGACTCGATGCTGAAGGCAAACCAGAGGTTTTACAGCCTGATTACTTTAGCAATGCTGACTTTGGTAGGGATTTTTTTCTGCCATTTGCAAGAAAGTTTGCTTTAGAAATGCAGCTTATATTCCCAAAAGCCATGATATTTGTGGAAATGCCACCCGTGGATTCGTCTGATGTAGAATTCCCTAAGATTTTGAGTGACGACATTCCGAATGCTGTGAATGCTATGCATTGGTATGACGCTGTAACGCTGCTCACTCTGACATGGCGCTCATATTTCACGGTAGACTATCAGATTGGTATACCTGCGTTTGGCAACGAGGCCGTGCGCAGGGTACATCACCGCCAATTGGCCCATGTTGCTAGTTTTGGTCGAACCAAAATGGAAAATGCCCCTACGCTTATTGGAGAGACTGGCATTCCGTACAATTTGTGCGATGCTCGTGCGTACATCAGTGGCGACTTTTCGGTGCAGGTTGACGCTATGGACAATACAATATCTAATCTTGAGTCGCAGCTTCTGTCGTACGCTTTGTGGAACTACACTACAGATAATTCACACGAGTTCGGTGACTTGTGGAACCTCGAAGATTTGAGTATCAGCAGTCCTGATTCAGAAATGCTGGCCATTCGGCTTGCAGGTGGCCATACACGACGTCTTGACGATTCTGCTCGCGGTTTGAAAGGGTTTGCACGCCCTCATGCTCGCAAGATATCCGGACTACCTCTTAAGTCAGCATTCACTATGTCAAAAGCAGAGTACATACTCGAATACGAAACGACAAAAGTTGAATCCTCAGCGCCGACGGAGATTTATGTGCCTTATGTACATTATCCCGGTGGCTACCGTGTTACCACTTCCGATGGCCACTGTACGATCGAGAAGCACGAGAATTACGACATTATAACTTATGCTCACGACAGTAAAGTACACAAGCACCACGTCCTTGTCTCGCCTCGAGTACCGATTCGTGGCGACCAGAGAGGAGCTTATGCCCCGCTGTACATCGCTATAGCCGCCATTGCGTTAATTGTGCCTGTGTTTACTTTATGCAAGCGTCGTTAAAGGAATCACACATTCCTTGCAATCGTGCGAGTGCTGTATAATGTAATGTAATTAAATTTGATAGATCTCTAGTTCAACATTCACGATGGTAATTTTTTAAATTACGAATTTTTCAAAATGCTTTCCTCAACATTGATAGCGAATTTCAGCAAGTTGGTCTCGATTTTGAAAACTCATCAATTCTGAGATTAAATGGACAAAGCAAATCTACTCACTCATCTACGATCATGTTCTCACCACCATCAATTTTGTTGATGTCTTGGCTAGACATTGTATCCTCTTCATTCTGCGCAACCGTAAGCCCTTTGGTTTTAATAATTTGTAGCATGTCAACAGCAAAGTCGTCCAGTAGCACAGGCCATGCTCCATTTTCGTCGTAATTGCTCATATCTGGCTTGATCTGGTGGCCAAAGTCGAGCACCTGGAGCCACAGATCTCTTGACACTACACTACGCGCGTGCTGTCGAACATATTGCAGCCAATGTCGACGCCAGTAAAAGTGCCCAGGAAGTAGAAGATCCCACAATCCTATCGCCAGATCAAGTGCCAAGCTCTTTTGTGTTGGATCTTTTGAAAATCCAAACGTAAACTGGAGTGACACACTACCAACTTAGTACTCAATATTATGTCAGTACCATACATTATTGCAATGTTACCGAATAAATAGTAGAAAACTCAGCACGATCGTGCAATTGGCTCCGCAGAGCTGGAAGTACAGCACGCAAATCTTCAATTGTATTGCAGTGCAGTCTGTGCATCCCACGTCGAAATTCTGATTGCGTGTAGGTACCCATAGTAGCTGCCTCCATTACGCAACTTAGCGCCAGCATAACAGGATCTTGTGCATCAATTCCTAATGCATCACACATGACTAAAATACCCTCTTCCGTAATCGTAGGTTCCTCCACTTCTAAGTCTGCATCAGTAACAACATATTGAGTCCGCAAATTATTTATCTATATTATAAGCTGAAAGAAACCTTGAAAACGAGCAAAGATTAAATCGATTGTTGTGTTGTCTTCCTGTTTGAATCTCGGTTTCTTGTTGCTGTCGGCATACTACACGAGGATTTCTTAGCAGTTGTTGGATTGTAAATAATCTCCAGTAACTCACATTATGGCTGGGTCCTCTTTTTCTGTCATTGTGGCTCTCTTTATGCCCTTTGCTGATGCCCAATTTGGCCAATGCTGCCACGTCTGCTTGGTACGTGGCGTTGGCCTGTATCCGCTCTACTAGGTCCGCTTTGCGTCCACTTGTACGGAGACCTGTTAGCAAATGTGAGTTATACGCTCTTACACTTGACTAGATTACCACGCACCGAATTTGCGGCAGATATCTGCGAGCTCTTTGACGCGTAGGCTCGCAAGATCCATTGTCTGTCTAATCTGCAAGTACAGACTTTATAAGGCACAATCGAATAGAACAGAATATAAAGAGTGGGATGATATGTACTGTTGAAGAGGTGCAGATTGCGCACCAGAGCAGATACCAGAGCAGGTCGTGTAATTGGAGTGACGAGAACGACGGTGGCACGAAAGTGTAGCTGGTGGGTAGCTTTTGGTACTAAACACATAGAGCACATCTCGGAATATTAAAATTATTGTCATTTCTTCAAAAAATGTAGTTTTATATTTTACTTTAAAGCGTCAATTCATCAATGGAAACGAAGGTCTCGTTAGACAGCTAGCAGTGAGCCCAACCTTGGCCTGACCAGTTTGCGAAATCACATGTTTGTAGTAATTGCAAACTGTTGAGATTCTGTATCGCACATTTAGCGTCAACAGCCAGAGCTTCAAGTTTCAACGAATATTTTGTAAATTTCCTGTATGATATAACCAATAAAGTCATACTTCTCCCGAGATCTCTTGAGATCTACGTATTTCACAATCCACCTCAATCCACACAAGCAATATTATTGCCGTCTGATTCGAACAGATGACCCCTAAGACGATGCCTATAAAGCCCAGTAGCACCAGTGAGACGACCAAAAAGACGGTGACCACGACCACTAACAAAAAATACGTGTTCACCTCTCCTTCAGGCGAGGAGATTATACTGGACTTGAGAAATCCAACGACTACGCAGCCTCATGCGCGTAAAGTGAAAGGATCTATCACTGTCTCTCAGTTTATGCAGAACTCATCCACCTTTGTGTTCGAGTATTCATCGGAAGATGCAGGTGGTTCCGAGCCAACCGAGATTTTCGTACCATATATCCATTACCCGGGCGGATACCGCGTGACAGCTTCAGATGGTCACTGCGCCATTGAGAAGCACGAAGGTTATGACATTATTAAGCACGAGCACGACAACCACAAACACAATCATCGCTTAGTGGTGGAAAAGACGAAGAAGGCTGTAGCTGCGAGCTCATGGTTCGGTTGGACTGGACACAGCAACATTCCCGTTTATGTGGCTTTGGGTATCGCCGTGATCGCGCCGTATCTATCGCTGTAATCTACAGGAGAGACGGTAACAAATCTACATTTGCGTAGATTCCGATTACGATACTTGCAGGATAGCATGCTTGTTCTAGAACGTGGGTAAATACATAAAATTCGAATTGGATCAATATTAGGAGGGTACATTATAGCGTAAAAGACCAATTTTAGTTTTTCAAAAATCCTTTAATACGTAGTGGGTAGAGCCTTAAATCTGTAACGTCGATCAAGTTGGATCTTCACACACATTCATCTGGCAGAATCAACGATATCTCGAGATTTCCTGACATGTCTGGTATGTAGGATGTACACTTTGGGGCACGTTCGTTTGACTGGATGATCCTATTGATTAAAACCTGAGCAAATCTTTTGATGGCGACACTTCCGTTTTCTTAAGCTTTCATTCCCTGTGTTGCAACTAACGTTATTGCGCTCCATCGTGATAAGAGACTCGAGCACGCAGGTTGACGATACGTCGTATTAAGCGAGAGATTTGGACATCGTAATTGTAATCTTGACTGTCGATAAATTTTACCAAAGGCAGACATGAGGAGCAGATTTCTCATGCCGCATGATCATGCCCTGAGGGCTATCGCGTTAGTGTCACAAACATCTAGTTGTTCGACGGATCGATACACTCACAAACACGACAAGCACCTCGTCCAAGAGCTTGCGCGCTTGACCGCAGGTTAGTCTGTACGTCTCAATGGTACATGTAGCACAACTCGGTTGTTTTCGCCCGTATTTCAATCGTGTCAACTAATTTATTATATATCAATCATCACTGCTACGCCCCCAATATCACGTGGCTATACGTTACACTTCATTATCCATGAACCATTTTGTGTGAGTTAAAGCCCCCGCAGCGTGTGGACATTTTAGCGAAACGTCATTCTCCATCATCTCCACATCCTCGACAAATTCCACACTCTTATCAGGATACGAACACCTGATCCTCGCTTCAGAGGTGGGTGCTCTAGACTCGAAATCAGGATCAACCGGCTTGGCTTCAATTTGCTCTCCAGCTAAAATTTTATTCTTTTGCACGACCGTAGATTGCTCACGCTCTCTCATATACCGACTCCATTGGCGTTTCTCGACAAACGATAATCTTTCAAAATCATGCGGTGTCATAGATAAATACGCCGGCAAAAGCGTCTTAACTTGCTTTTGTGGATTAAAAATCACAATTTCTTTACCTTGTGGCAGATTCCTTTCTGTGGACGTAGGATTAGCAGCTACCGTCACATAATGACGGTACATTCGTTCCATTGTTCTATGACGGTCTCCTACTCCTGTTGCCAAAATGCTGCTCAATTCTATGCCGTTCACTGCGTCTCCGCAAGCTTTCAATCCTGTCGTCTCTTCAGTGATATCCATCCCATCGCTGTCACTGTTACTATTGCCAATGGATGAAATTTCCTGTTGGTTCATACCTTCTAGCTCAATAAATCTTGTGCCGCCCCTCGCCTGGTCCTTCGCTAGACGCCAATCACGTCTCCTCTTTTCCAGAGAGCTGCTAACCCCTTCATCATTTGTGCCTTCTAGACAAAGATCGTCCAGCTGTTCCGCCAACGTTCGCTGTCTCTTTCTAGAAGGCGGACCACATCCCAAAGACGAGCGGAACGTCGATGTCCGCAAAGGCCCGGATCCAAATCGATGGCGCTGGAAGTAATTGTACGAGTTTTGTCGCATGGTATACGAGTCTAATTCCTCAATTTCTAAAGAGGACGAGTCTTCGCGTTGTCGGCGGATTCCCAGAGCGTGTGGCATTGATACGAGAAAATTGGACAAGATGCCTTTTTATATTGTCTTTGCAAAATTATAACTGAATATTGCATTGAAATGTTGAATACTAGAAACAAGATCCGACTCAATTTATCTTCTACGTTTTTGTTGATTGTTGACCAATGAAAGATGAAACAAAGGTAAATATTAACACTTTTGCCCTTCAAATTGGTACTATATGCCAAATCCTAGAGCGAATCAGCAGCTACAACTTGGGCGCGAGTGCACCACATGCAGCTCCCATTACCTACGCCATCTCACTGCCACGTCGTGTGGGCGGACACACATGGTGTGTACTGTAAACTGAGTATTCATTCCTCAAAAGTTTGGTACAATTGTATCGTTATAAACAACATTACACAATTGTACAAAATTTATATGTGTTTGTGAATATTCATAAGTATTGAAGTAACTGTAATATGAAGCTCATGGAACTCTGGTCCATAGTATATGCGGAGCAATGGGGTTGCCGTGCGCGAGCACATAACTACCTAAGTATATGTATCTATGCAGATGATGGAGCTCTGAAACGAAAAATGGGGTTGCCGTGCGCATGAGCTTTGCGCTGAGGAAACTTTAAATCTAAGAGTCCGTTTTAGCAAACACACGGAGTTTGAGTTTGCGCGCTCCTAGTGAGAGCATACCCAGACATAATTTAATTAACTCTGCGATTTCTAGAGCACATATACTACGGATTAGTGCTACATTGACTGATAATATATTTACGCTCTATTATCTTATGACGTGGGCTAGAAGCCCACATATGCCGCAAACTTTTCGAAGCTCTATCACCTTCAGAGCTTATAAGCAATTACAATCACACCAAAGCGGATTGTGTTTTTTCGTACACTTGACGTATGGTATAAAATGCAATAGCACCAAATGTCGAAGGAAAGAGTACACAAGATTTGGTGCTTACCCTGTTAGACCGTCGTCTGCTCGACAACTAGGAACGGCTCCGACAGAGCGCGAAAGTCCGCAACATGAGGCAGTCAATTGTTGTATACCATTTCTTATGACACCAACACATCGTATATAATACTGTATTGTTTAGGTATCTGTAGGGTTTGAACCCACGCAGCATGTCTAGTGGATCTTAAGTCCGCCCCCTTAGACCACTCGCCTAGCTAAGTACCATTTTTTTGCTAATTTTGTCTTTCAAGATACTTTGAATATAACGACGGATCCACAAGTTGCCATTGCACCTGGATTCTCTGCAGTTTATTTTGCCAGCTTCCCATAGCGTACTTGCACTTGCGACAGGCAATCCGAAACATTCCAAACACGGCATGCATGCGTGCGCTCCAAGAAAGACTTGATCAGACTGCTAGAAAATTGCAACTAAATCAAAGACAGATTCTGGTTTGTAAGTCTAAGCAAATAACACCACCAAAGTTACAAGTGGTTATATGTATATAACCTACAAAGGCAGTGGTGTAATCTGTGAAACTGACATGTTAAATCTTGGGTACAACGATGAAAAACCAAGGAGAATCTTTACAAACTCGAGCTTGAAATATAAAATCTTGAAATAATTGTGGTTGAATCCTTGAGAAAATTGAACGAAAAGTCTTCGTGGACAGTTCCCCTTATGTGACTGACTAGCTTGCACCACGCGCTCTGAATGATAAAGACACGTTGATCTTATCACCAATGTAGATTCTCAAGCAGTCACCATCACTTGCACATGAATAACAATTACTCTGTTTCGTTCAGGACATGAGAACAATATTCTGCACTGATAAGTACAAACGTCGTTACATCAACCAATGATGTCATAGGTGCACGTGGATCTGTCGAAATGTAATACCTATGTTATTTGTCCCCGCAATGCACGTCGAAGGTGTGTTTAAAACGGACAGCCACATTCATATATTATAAAAATGCTCCATTGCAGTCTTGTGCATCAATTTCAAACGCTAATTGATCCCTTTCGAGAAGGGTACCGGGGTCTTTTGCAATTAGAATGGTCGTGGTGACATTTCGTTTCCTGACCAAACATTCTCCCACTTTTAACGAGTAGGCGCTCACACCGACCACCCACACTGCTGCACGAGTCTCAGACTCCATGCCTAATTTCATCAGCAAAAGTCCGCGCCGTAAAACCGACGATGATGTCCAGCTGGTCACTAGCGAGCTGGATCTTGCTCTAGGGAGCCTTCTTGCTCTAATGCAAACGCAGAGATCATGCCGATTTTCGCCGTCGTTGTGACGGTTTGGAATCGTATACGCTTCCTCGAAGCGCTGGCGCGGAGCCTATCACGCCTATATTAAAAGCCTTTCACTCAAATCAAGAGCTAAACGAATGCTCGTAAGCCCGCCGTAAAGCAACCGCAGTTGGAGAAATCTGTGGTCTTCGAGAGTGATGCACCGTGGGTAGTCAAACCTGGTGTACGTATCGCTAAAGTACACTGCATGCACTTGGATAAACAAAAACATACCACCTTTCCTGTCCTAATGCTTCTAAAGGTAGTTTCAGCAAAGAAGACACCCTTTGTTACATGCTTAGGTCTGCAATGTATAAAGCACGATGCGGAAAACAATGCGATAATTTATCACCACAAGTTTCTACTGTTTAAAGCACTGCTTTTCTCCATAAGGCAGCTTTGGCATATACCAATCAAGGTCCCTCATATGCCGAAAGGCGACACATCTCCCATTAGTTGAAAACACGCTTTGCGGGCGACCCTGCCTCTTCTATGGAAAAATTGGAGGTCATGTGCAGTTTGTCGTAAGCGGCCACGACGCCAGGACAATCATGCAGAAGTGGAGATTGAAACTACAAGGAGTTAGACAAAAAACCTTTCACATCACCAAGTGCTAACCAAAACCTTAGTGAGCCCACCGGTTCGTCAAATGTTTAATGTGAGAGTGACCCGCTCCTTGATGATCAAGCAGTGCCAGCAAAGGTCCACCCTCCCGCAGCTGGCTCCCATGAGCACTATCAGTTTTTGTGGCGTGTTGACCCTATCCGAGAGTCATGAGATATGAAAAATGCTAAGATGAGTTTGATTTAGGCTTCGCTCTTGGAGCTTCGCCATTGCACTGTCCTATTTGAGGTAACTATAGCGATTCGGGACCGCAATATTTGCTTTGAAGCAAAGAGCAGCTCAGCTACAGGGAATGTTAGACACATTGCATTGTCTGCCGCAGAGAAATTCATGCTCGAATGGCTCGCAAGCGCGGGATTGTGGCATGGCTTTAGTAAGCTCACTCTAGACACTAGATGTGTTTGCGTTTGACTCGAGATATCTAGACTAAAATATACTTATTTTTGCTACGATCATGGACGTTACGATGTTCCCGACCGCAAATTGATCTTAGAGGCCACACATACGGCTTGTGTAGGTTAATCGATTGCGTGACATAACCTTTCACTCTACCATATATTTTTGTGTGCTTGCCTGCCCTCGGTATTGGCGTGATGCCTTTGTATATTTTGGTTTTAGCCTAAGCATTGTATATCTTGCATATGACGCGTAATATCATAATATTAAGTTTGTACAATTTTATTATAGGTGGACGCGATAGCTCAAATAGTAACAAGATGTCTGGATATTCCTTTTCTTGCGTGACTCGCGGTGTAGGGGTTTCCATGCGCCGAAAGACCGCGATAATGGAGCGAGGTCTCCCGCACGAGGCAAATTTACTAAATTTTGTCTGGCAATTATCAGCAAGTTTTTCGAAACGATCTATACGCCACGCTGAAAATGGAGCAATTTTGTGGCAGAGTACCCGGGTTTTCATCAGACTATTTGATGATAAACGAAATAAAGTCTTAATATATATATTGTGCTAGAAATACTTGACACAAACCTTTGCTAGACATCCACATACAGTAAAGACTTTCATTTCCGCTCGGATTTCGACCTCACTTTCTCAACCTCTTAGCGTTTGATAAAGGGGGTGCTGAATAAATTTGAAGTTTCTTTTGTTCATAGTGCGGGACAACCCCTTTGAGCTTGGTAGACCTTGCTGGAAAAGCTTCCGGCAATGGTTGGTCCCGACTGAATCAGGTAGCCGGCGGTCAATGAGTCTAAGGCCGTAATAGTTTGCTTAGAAGTACTTACTAGATTTATAATGCGCTAATAAGAAATCGCGGGATTCCCATGCGGGTGTCGGCGGAAGCGCAGTAGAATCTTTTCGTAACGACAAGGTGCTGAGTGTCCTAGTCCTTGAGGGTTGGGATGGGGGAAATTTCCTCCTTCCGAATGAGGGGAGTGGATCTGGTCATAGATTTGACCATGCTATTAATAAGCGACAACGAGGCGCGATTGCGGTCTTCAAGCTAGGATGTTTTGCGCGAGAATGGACACTGACGTGCAATACCTTCATAAACAGGCGTTCACAAAATGGGGCGACAGATGTCGCGGGTGTACCAATCACCTAACCGGGAAAATTAAGTTCATTAGTAGTAATCATCCATTTGCCAAGATAAGCGAGATGGCGTCGAGCCCTCTCTTCCAGGGTTGGCACGGGCTACCTATCATCTTTACGGAAACTTTCTCAGCGGGTACCCCTCGCACCCGAGACCGTCTGCGTTTTCCAAAAACGTTGCTGGTGTCAAAATAATGTG